TATACATAAAGGTGTTTAAAACATATTGCAATATTTAAACAATGTTTCTAAACTCTAAACGCTCTAAAAGAGCTCAGAATGTCATGATTTCAGCTCCCTGCCTCCTCTGCTCTCAGCTACCTGCAAGCGCTCTTGGCCACGCCCACTTCTACGCTCTGCATGGAGAACAGCTGATCAGCTGCAGCAGGAAGTTTATCCTGCAGCTCTGGGCTGCACAAATGTGCAGCAGGTGCTAAATCATTTAAAATGTTTTATTTTAAATAAACAACCCATGGTTGGTCTTTGTGATATTGCAATGAGTGCTTTCAAATTAGCTTAAAAAATGTCTATGTCTACATGGAGTTACACTTTTTTTGGGCAGGGTCCAAATGACAGGGTCATTTGTTTGCATTTGTGGCACTGAGGAGACCCACTGTAGGTTGATCAAATGTTTGTACTGTGTGCAAATGGATAAAATAATTGTGTTTAAAAAAGTTACAGATTATTAAGAATTTACTTCCTACGACTTCTCTTCGAAAAGGAAATGAAAAGTATTTTTTGCTTAGTTCATCAAACATTAATATGATGGCATTCCTATGTTTTATGTCCATTTGTTTTGGTTTATTAATATATTCCTTTATTATTTTTATATGTTCAAAAAAATTTTTAAGAAAAAAACACATCCACTAACGTTTTGTAGGTTCATATTCCAGTTCTGTTTCTACAATAATTCTCCTATTAATGGGGAACGTCTTGTTCCCCCTCCCTGTTCAGGGTTCTTCTCGTTACGTTCTCACAGCTCCATCCATCCATCCATCCATCCATTTTCTTTACCCGCTTATTCCATTTTGGGTCACGGGGGTCGCTGGTGCCCATGTCCAGCAATCACTGTGCGAGGGGCGGGGTACACCCTGGACAGGTCGCAGGTCCATCACAGGGACACATAGAGACAAACGAGACAAACAACCATTCACTCTCTCACTCACACCTAGGGACAATTTAGAGTTACCAATCAGCCTAACATGCATGTTTTTGGACTGTGGGAGGAAACCGGAGTACCCGGAGAAAACCCACGCATGCACGGAGAGAACATGCAAACTCCACCCAGAAAGGCCCCTGGACCGGGGTTTGAACCAGGGACCTGCTCTCTCACAGCTCCTCCCATGTAAAAATGCTCCCACGGCTGTGCCTGCAGCTGATAATAGCAATTTGATGTGCGTGGAGATCGTGGCCAACAATGTGAGTGTAAATGAAGCAGTTAAACAGAGCGAGGGTGCAAAAAGAGGAAACACCTCACACAGAGTCTCACCTGTCTCCTGATACGGAGATTAAACGCTTGCAGTCGTTGGTGAACTTCAACCCAGAAACAATTTCTGCAAAACAAAAAAACATTAAAGTTCCTGGACACTGTGTTGTCTTGGGGCTTGTTGTTTCAATACGACTGCAACATATGCAGATGTGTGTGTTGGTTCTGGTACCAGAATGTCCAAACATGGTGGCAACACACTCCCCGGTGAAGAAGTCAAAGATGCTGATGCTTTTATTGGAGCAGCTGGTGGCCACAAACTGACCTGAAGGATCGATCTGGACCTTCAGAAATACACAGAACAACAGAAGAATTTTTCTCTTCTTTACATAAATATAAATATAAATATATGAGAGAGAGACATAAATGTAAAAGAAAGCATTACTCTGAGGAGACTGCCATCTTCACTCAGAGATCCCTTGTAGAGCTTCTTCTGTTTGCCGCTGCCGATGTTGAAAATCCTGCACTCAGAAAGAAAACAGGCCTCAGAGACACTTTCAACGTGCCGACCAGTGAGCTTTAAATAAAAACACGCATGAACGCCCACGCGCTCACCTGATGCAGCGGTCCTGACAGCCGACAGCTGCGTACTTGCAGGTGGCGTCTACAGCCATGTCGTAAAGTGTGGTCTTCCTCACCATGTGGTGAGAACGCCTAAACTCGGTTCCTCTGTCGGTCTGCAGAACAAAGAGACGATGTCAGTGTGAGACGCACGGCCTGTGAGGAGTTTAAACAAAACACAGACGATTATACGATTGTCCATCTGTCATGGTGGCGGAATGCAACTCATGCAGTTTGTAGTTTAAGAAAATACGGTCTGAACTTTCAGATATCTGAGAGTAAATATTAAAAAAAGACAAAAAATACACAAAGAAAAGTGGTTTCAAGTTTTGAAGACTGTTACAAGAAGTCATTACACTGATGAGTTTAAACTATTTAATGCCACTGCTACAATCATCATTATCTAAAAGGTGCAGCCTCAGTGAAGCCCAACTACAGTTCATTCAGGAGGAGAAGTTCTGCCAACGAGGCTAACGAGCGTTTGTTTTTACTGTGCCTCACAGTGGGCCGGATTACGTCTTAAGTGTAGGAGGTATGTTGAAGCTTATGCAACTCAGGCTGAACTCCCATCAGCCTTGACGACCAGACGTAATCCCACAGGAGAAAAAGCTGTTAGAGTTACACAACATGGAGCACAAAGACTCTGTTTGTGTCACTAATATGAGAAATTATTACAGAATTTTAATAAAATAAATATAGGGAAGTGGCTAAAAATATTAGATTCAAGTTTTGGGGGGATTTATCTGGAGCATTTGTGACACCCCCTACAAGGTTTTAACTGTGTACCAAAGAAAAACATCAGAGAAAATCAAAGAAAATGAGAGACTTTAAGTCAGAATGTACAGTAGTCCCTCGCTACTTCGCGGTTTGTTTTTAACAGACTCGCTCTATCGTGGTTTTTCAAAGTAAGCTAGTACGTGGCACATAATTGGCTGAATGATGGATGAGCCGCACGATCGGCATGGAATTTTTATTTAAAATTAAATTATTTAGCATCTGTAGCGAAAAAGCTTCCTGCTGTAGCTGATCAGCTGATCTCCGAAGAGAGCAGAGAAGTGGGCGTGGCCGAGAGTACTTGAAGGTGGCAGAGAGCAGCCGGAGGCAGACAGCTGAAATCATGACATTCAATTAAATTAAATTCAAAAATACTTTATTAATCCCAGAGTGAAATTAAATGTTGTTATAACTCATCATCCTGGTTTCATTAATGAGTTGTTATAGATGCTGATGGCTGTGGGCAGGAAGGATCTCTTGTAGCATCTGTCCTACAACAGATCTGAAGAAGCCTCTGACTGAAGACACTCTGTTGTTGTATGACAGTCTGATGAAGAGGATGCTGAGGGTTGTCTATAATGTTCTTCATTTTATGAAGAATCCTTCTTTGAACAATCATCTCCAAAGGTTCTAGAGGAGTCCCCAGAACTGAACCAGCCTTCTTTATGAGCTTGTTGATCTTTTTTAAGTCACTGGCTCTGGTGCTGCTACCCCAGCAGATTCAAATTCAATTAAAATTTAAAAATACTTTATTAATCCCAAAGGGAAATTATTTGTTGTAGTAACTCGTTATCCTCATTTCATTAAGATATGTTGTAGTTGCTGATGGCTGTAGGCAGGAAGGATCTCTTGTGAAGTTCCATCCCACATTGGATCCTAAGAAACTGGCTGCAGATGCCGTCCGATCCGCCAGACTCGGCTGGCCTCTTGGTTCCCCTGGGCTGTAGGACCGCCAAAATGCAGGGTAGAACTCCTCCCAGAGCGATGGCCACTCCTCCCAGAAGTCTGCATTTGCCTGCAGAGATACCTACTTGGAGCTCCTCGTCACTGAGGACAGCCGGCTGCAGGTACCGAGGGACGATCCTGTCCTTTCGCTGTCATGAGCCGTGTTTCCTGCTAGTTCCAGGATCTCAGTAGTTAGGCACTCGAGCACAGCTGGCAGGTAGATGAGAATGCATCCACAGAACATCCTTTCAACTCATTTGAGATTTGGGGCTGTAGTTGAGATATTATTTGAGCTTTTGAGACGTTAATCAGCTGCTGTTGGTTGTAGAAAACAGCCTTGTTGCCATGGTTACGCATCATAACAAATGTCCAAAATTAAAAAGTTTCAGTAAAAATCCTTCCAGCTGCACAGCATCCGATACCAGAGGAAATAATCATCCAAAAAAATGTGATTTACATCCAGGAAAAGAGGAATTAAAGTTTCCAACAGCAAAATCTCAAAATTAAAATAACAGAGCTACTCCAACATGCAGCCACCTTGAGCGGCGCAATTCTAGAACTGATGATGAACTAGATGATGGCAGAAGAGATAGTGCTCTCTACAACAGACTTATAGAAGATATGCAGCATCTTGCTGCAAACACTGAAGAACTTCAGCTTCCTCAAGAAGTACAGTCTGCTCTGTCTCTTCTTGTAGATGCTTCACTGTTGCATTTCCAGTCCAGTCTCTTGTCCAGGTGAACTCCAATGTATTTATACTTCTCCACCACCTTCATTTCTTCTCCCATGATGGAAATAGGGTTGGACCTGTTCCTGTTTCTCCTGAAATCTACAATCATCTCCTTTGTTTTGTTCACGTTCAAGATGAGATGATTGTTTCCACACCACCACAAAGCGGTCCACCAGTTCCCTGTACTCAGCTTCTTGTCCATCTGATACACCCGACTACTGCAGAGTCATCTGAATATTTCTGCAGATGACAGGAGTCTGTTTTCTACTGGAAATCTGAGGTGTACAGAGTGAAAAGGAATGGTAAGAGTACAGTCCCCTGTGGTGCTCCTGAGATCCTGACCACCTGGTTAAACACACAACCCTTCAGTCTCACAAACTGTGGTCTGGATGTCATGAAGTCTTTGATCCAGGTGATTGTTGAGGCTTTTCTGTGCTCTTTAAGAGATTAGAAACATTGTTTAGAATATTGCAAGCATGTGGGAAAGGTTCAAAACAATTATATATATATATATATATATATATATATATATATATATATATATATGAAAACTAAAATAAACTATTACTTACTACTTTTACTGCTATTTCTACTTTACGGTTTTTCACATATCGCGGGGCTTCAGGGTACGGATCCCCCGGGATAAATGAGGGATTACTGTAGTCCAATTTAATAACACATCTGCTCATCAGATATGTCATGTTTTATGTGTGTTTATTTCAGAAAAAAGGACAAGTTCAAATGACCCTTCACTTCTAGCTTTGAAAAGAAAATTTTGAGCTCTGATACATTTTTTCATTTACCCTTTAATTATCCAGGTAGTCTCATTGAGCCACAAGAACTCATTTTCAAGAGAGACCTGTTTAGGGAGCAGATGGGTGTTAAGGGCCTTGCTCATGGGCCCAGAGTGGGGGTGAATGAGGGTGGGGGCAACAACTACAAGTCGATGGAAACTTGGATGTTCAGTTTCTACTTTCAATGAGGATTTGAGCGAAAATCGTAAGTCTTACATCAGGGAGAGACACGATGGATGAAAGAAGAGATAAATGCAGCATTTCCCCTACCATTGTACAAGCAGGGCGTCCCCCCCTGCTTACTGAACCGAACCCCCCGTCGACAGCTGCCAGCACTGACATACTGCTAAGCTAGCGGCGCGCAATACAGACAAGCTAGCTAAAAAGCTGCAAAGGTAGTGCGCCATTTCCCTCATGCTGATCCACCCCCCCAATAATACCGATGGTACAAACAGCACGCAACACAGATGTGTTTC